ACAATCACTGAGCTGCTTTTTCTGATCCACTGGAGGTCGGGCTTACGGTCATGCAGGAGGCAAAGATTACTATGGGCAATTCACTTCGGAGGATTTTCAGCAGCTTAGGCAAAAAGTGCACAAACAGACGACCTCCACCTGCTGCATAGGAATCCTGGGTCCCGCACTTCAGAACACGGGGGACTGCGTGATCATGACCATGAATACATTCTGCAGACACAACTAAGGGAAAGTAAAAACGTGCCACAGATATCGAAGCCACATATCAGAAGAGACACATCAAGACTGAAAAGCAGAAAAATCGTGCGTTTGATGTTCAGAAAAAAAGTGGTGAGAGATCGAGCCACCTGGCTCTAGGAAGCTAGGAGTTTGGGCGAGACAAAGAGAGATGTCTCTTATGAGCCATCGGTAAATGGGATCGTTTGCATTTTTCCGACTACTTTTGTTTTTCCAGCTGAACTCTTGCTGGGAGTGACAGTCAGATGTGGAAACCCCACTGAGCTCCGCACCCCCGCCCCTCTCATGCGGAGTCCTGTCTGGCCAAACTTATTCCAGGAAACAGGCCCCGAGATTCAATTTTGCTTTAAACCAGAGGTTATAAAGTGGACCCTCTTCTGCTCGGAGGTGTATTTGTTTGGTCTGTTCTCAGCTCTGAGTCAACTGACATCCCTTCCAACCAGAGAGATAGTGTAAGATTCAGAATCGTTAGCGACACTTGGGCTTTAGCCGGCCATCGGATGTCCCCTTTCAGATGGGGCACTTCCTTGCCAGCTGGCGGCTGGACTGCTTTTGCTCATTTGCATCAACTCCCTGGCCCTTTTAGGCTTCGGAATTTTTAACCCTTGCTTCAAATGAACATGTACCTCTGGGTCCCGAGACCTGTCCCTGCGCCCCTCCAAAAAAAATAGGTTGTCAGCTCCCGTCTAATGACCCACGTGGTTTTCCATACCAGGCTGCAGCTTTTATCGGCAGTCAGAAACAAAAAAATCAAATACCACTTCATCTAAAGCAGATGGTGTGCTCTGGTCTTCCTGGTCCAGGGGACTCTGTGCAAAGGTTCACTACAGACGCAAACTTTCCAGCTCTTGCTGTTCTGTTGAATGGTGGCTCTGTCGGGCACAGGCATCCTTGCCTGAATTTGCTGCCAACTGTGGCAACTTCATTGGAAGCAAATGTTTACAGAGAAAAGAGAGTCAGGAAAAAGTTATTTCTTCGTATTTCCAATAGCGGTGGAATTTTTCCTTCTGTAATACACGGAAACAAAGCAAATGCAACAAAATGGACATCATTTGCATCTGTCTGATGTTTTTGAAAAAAGCTGGTTACGTTTTAGGTTGTCCTTGGGACGGAAGAATCACTTTCGCATTCAAGCCTGGTATACATGGGATTGTGGACAGTGAGCGTGAGTGGACTAGCCATGTGTGTGGTTTTCTACGGACAGTTTAGCTTGACTGCTGTGAAGTTAGGTGTTGAACAAGGCAGCTACAATAGGAAATGTACTGGTTTGTCCCTGGCACCTCCTGCTACTAACGTCCAGAGTTCCCTGTGATTTAAGGTGTCACAGATTCTACCCAAGAAGTCGCATTACCCTAGAGACCACTATATTGTGTTTATACCTACACAGTGGTCCTTTATTCCAGAGCTCTGAAGACAGTATTCGAATGCGGGAAATCCAGAAGGGGTATGTTTGTAGAGTACATAGTACATCTCTACCCTCAGCTTTCATTCTCTGGGGTCGGGCGAGGGGGGCACAGAATTAGGGATACTAAGATGACCCAAGTTGTGGACAGTAGGAGTATGTGTGGTGGGCTAAGCCAGATCTGGAACTCTTTCTTCTCCTATATTCCTTCCAAAATTTGCCTTTCCTCTTCCAGATCACAGATACGCTGGAATTTGAATTCACACAGCTTTACCTCCCCTGGCAGAGTCAGCTAACGCCACTTAGATTTCTGTATTCTCCCCACTCAGGACCTGTGTAGGAAGCTTGGGTTTGCTCGGGAGACACATATTCCTATTAATAGGGCAGCTTGATTATTTGGCTCTTAGCAGATTTTAGAAAATGAGACCAAGTTGTCCTTATTCGTGCGCAACTTTCCAGCAAGTCCACACAGTTAACGACACGAAGTTACTGCTTATTGTTCTGAAAGCCTTGTCAGAGAGGTTCTCTTATTGGCATATTTAATTTATGCCATTTACATTTTGTTGTCATTTTCCTGTTTTACTCCCCCCCCCCCGATTTTTTTTTTTTTTTAAATGAAACATCCCTGAGTGGGTACAGTGCACTATCTGCATCAAGCAGTGATTGTCATTTACGAAGCATGAAGTGAAGAGTACAGATCGTGGGTTCTCTGGTCCAGTGTGCATTGTATCATGAAGGTGGTGGGAACCCCTGCGCGTCTTCACAGGGAAGGGACAAAAATTGCATGTGGTACACAAAGTTGTTCTCAACCAAATTTCAAAATACCTTGAGATGTGGTCATAGGAGATGTTCAAAAGGCAGCTTGGAAAGGCATATGTTGCCACCGAAGATACGACCTGGTTCTCTTTTCAGGGACAGATTTGGCAACTGGGGAGCAAAACGGAAATCTCTCTTCTCAGCTGAAGTGGCCTGAGTGTGTACTGGTTGCCACTGTTTTGTTCTCGTTCAGTCGCTTGCTGTTTCCTGTGCCCTCACTTCAAAAGGTTCCTGCTGTCCCAGTGAAATGCTCGCATTGGTAGAAATGACAAACAAATTCAAATCTGGTACCTCCTGAGGCACATGTGGGAAATAATCCTTTTCCTACATCGCCCATGGGACGAGGGAGGAAAAAATTCTCAGCCACTTCATCAATTGAGCCAATTTAAATCCTCTAAGGTAGACCGGAGGAAACAAATGATTCCCTTTGCAACGGAGCAGGAATTACAGGCCAACAACGGAAAACATGAGGCCGACAGAACGATGGAAGCAAAGTTTGACATAAGTTCAAAGCTCAAAGGGAAACACCAAGTAGACACATTAAGCGTTGCCTATCACAAGCCAATCATAAAACATACATTGCATTTGGAAACGGCTTGGTTTAATTGAGCGCCTTCCATTACCCTGTTTTCCTAGCAATCAGTAAAGTAATCTTTCCATTAGAAGGAAATATGACTCTTGGAATTAATTCTTTATACAAAGAGCTAGCAGGAGTGACATTTACACCAGAAACAACCAAGTCCCCGCAGCAGCATAACACGCAGTGCGCAGCTGTCTTCTTAGACACCGAAGGTAATTTGGTTCAATGTAGTTAAATTAATTGAATATAACAGTAGTTGAGAAAGAGAGTCATTATTTTAAAGCCTTTTTGTTTTTCCCCATTGGTTTGGAATTCATCAATCATGAGGTGGGAAAAGGCTCTGTTTTCTAGAAGAAAAGACTACCGCTACTGTCTGATCATCAAGGAGGGGTGCAGTAGCATCGCGGAGATGGCTCTCAAGACCATGTTACTTTAGGAGAGCGTCGGAGATGAAAAGGAAATCAAAGTTTCCAGTGATGGAAACTTTTCAAAGCAGGTGTGCGCGCATGCGTGCGGGTACGTTTGCCGAGGAGGAGAGGGCGGGGCCTCGAGAGCTGGCAGCTGGGCTATGCTTCCGGGAGATGGTGCATGTCATTGTCTTTTAGACAAAGCTCGGTTCTAGCTTCCTTTTTAAGAACTATTGTTTTGGATCCACTAAGACCCAAGACCTCGGGCCTCCAGAGCCCAAGCCGAACAAGCTGCTTGGGGTTTATGCTTTCCTGGTACTCGGCTGGAGAGCAGGTGGAGAGGGGAGGCTTGTCCTAGGAAGTCTGAATTCACTAAGCTTCGTCTTGCCTCTTGCACTCTGTGCTTTTGCACAAGTTGCTTGGGAAAAAAAAAAAAAAGTAAGCCCAGGCTAGATGGATGATGCGATTTCAAACCACATGGGAAATAGTTTTGGCTTTGGGGTGTATTGTACAGAATAACTCAGATGTGTTTTCCTTATCTGTCAAGTTCTTGCTCTGTGCCTACAGTGTAGCATTTTGGAGTTGAGAAATTAGAGGCCCCACACTAGGACATATAAAATCCTGCCTCCCCCTTTATTGCTGCTTTTTCTAACAAACTTGGCAAAGGGAATGCATATAAAGAACTACTTCTTTACTTTGTAGGTGCTCTTTCTACCTCTTCTTTGCCAAAACCAAAAAAAAAAACAAAAAAAAAAAAACCCACACCAAAAAAAAAAAAAAAAACAACCAAAACAAAACCCCAAACCGCCCCCAAAAACCCAAACCAAAACAAAACAGGTTAGAGAGGACATGTTGACATGAAATGGCATCCGGACCCTGGCTTCTGATTTCTGCCGTGACTCTAATTTTATTAGAAAAAATTGCTGGTGATCAAACCTACAGACTGTGTTTCTCTGCTGAAGATATAATGAGCACCAAAATCAGTTTCTTTCCCAGCCTAAAATCCAAAGAAAAAACAAAAGTGTTTTGCGTGTCTTGGTGAAAAATAGGAAACAGTGATTGTTTGGTTAAAAAAAGTTCTGGACTCCACAATATTATCTGTGGCCTAATTCTTAAAACAGGAAAATGGCTCCAAATACCCCCCCCCCCCCCCCCCCGCCAAAATATTTACCATCCTGACAAGGCTTTGATGTCACTGAGAGAGCTAGAGTTCTTACTCAGAGGCTGGGTGTTAGGTTTGTTCCTTCACAGACTTATCTCTGAATCGGTATCATCCTGCTGTAGACGATAGCTGAAAAGTCTGGCTGGGAAAACAAAATCCTGATTGTCTAACATAAAGATAACACAGAAGGGAAATAATAAGAGAGAGCCTGACTGAACCTCCTTCACTAGTGGGTATGGTGTTTTAAGCCACAGTGCACATGCAGGTGTAAGTAATAATCATATATAATATTCTCGGATATTATATACTTATTACGTACCTGCACAGTGCTTTCCAAGACAGCTACAAATTTTCACATGCATCAACTATCTAAAAACATAGAAATAGGTAAACCTATTCAGTGGAGTTTTCTTAAATTATATTTGAACAATTAACAGGAAAAGTAATCATGTAAAGTACCGCTCTGTTCTCGTATATATCTACAATAAAATTCTATAAACAGTTGTCTCCCAAAACATACCCGAATAAAATAAAATTAAAAAAAAAAAAAAGATAACACCCAGTGTCCTCTAGTTGTATATTTATGGTCATTTCAAAAACAAACAAATAAAAGAGCCCCACTCAGGTGCATATTTACATTCTTCAAACTGTAGCGGTGAAAAATAATTCTATTAAGTGCAGGACATTCCTAATGTTGCAGTAGACATTTTTCTTAAGTCTTCATGAACACATTGCTTTTGTCTTAATGGTGGTGCATTCCGTGACTAGGAGACAGTCCTCTGGTCGCCTTCATTTGCAGACAGCGGCACAGTCAGGATTGAAGAGCTCCTTGTATAAGGGAGGAAAGAGGGTGTTCACTATGTCTGGATGTGACTGTTTGAATACCTGCAGCTTCTCCCCGTGCAGGTTGCAGACCGCCGTGATGGTGGGGATCTTGGCTATTAACTGCAGAGTGGGGAGAGACGGGGGAAGGGACAAAGCGGGAAGGAAGCTCATTAGTGCTCTGTCTTCTGAATCAGTGTCCTTCCTGGCCTCCGACGAAGGCAATGGCTTTGGGAAAAGACGTTCGGGAAGAGAGCAGGCTCACTTTCAGCTTCTCCTTTCTGACAAACAAAATGTGCCTCCCACCCCCATCCTCCAAAGGGGAAAGAGAGAAAGCACGCAAGCAGGGCCAAGCTTCCTGATTTCACTGCTTTTAAATAAAACTGTGTTTGGGAGGTAGTCGACTTTGATCGGTAGGAGTGGGTGCTTTGCGCCAGGCCGACTGAGTCAGAATCCTGGTTCCAAAATAGCTAAACGGCCGTGTGGCTGGGATACACTCTGTCTTGGTTTTTCTCGTGTGTAAAGTGGCTTACTCACAGTTCCTAGTTCCTTGGCTTGTTGTGTGGACGGAGGTAATTCATATAAAAGTGGTAAGAATAGTGTAGGCATGAAACACCATTGTTAGCTAATATTATCTATCGTTTCCCACAGATTTATCTGATATGACTGTGAGATTTTTGGTTTTTGGAAGGCGACCATGCGAGGAAGGTGTGATCTAAACTGTATGAGGCGTGATCCATAATCCTCGGGGCTGCTTTGCTCACTAGCCTGCCTGAATCCTTCTCGTTCTTTTCTGCTCTAATGCATAAAATGAGACTCTGTTTCATCAGGAGAACCTGGGAGGTCACTGGCACTAGCTTCTTCAGGGAGGCATTTAAAGAAACTCGTGGGGAAACAGCCACTTATAATTGCTAGATTTTGACATATATGTATCATGTGGGATGTCTTTTTTTTTTTTTTTAGTTCAAATACCCAGAAAACAGGGTTTTATAATAATTTAAAATGTCCACAGTTTGTGAAATGCTACATAGGTCTTAGGAGATGAACAAGTCTAGCTTTTAACAGATTTGTAATGTGGGGACACCTACAATTTATCATCTCATGTCAAAATTAGCTTAAAACCAAACGTCATCATGATCAAATCACTGTTGAAATAAGATGTGTTTCATAAAAGATAAGCCCGATAGTTCATAGAGCTGACCAAAGGTATACTTGAAAGTGATGATAAAATTAAATAAAACCCATTGAATCACCAGTTCGGTTCATGTGCTCCTTATCCTACTCAAGAGTAAGAAACCATCTCAGAGGAAAAAAAAAAAAAAAAAAAAGAAACCATCTCAGCCTTTGAAGTAAAAGAGAAAATAGATAATTAGTTACTTTGTGGCTCTTCAAAATCAGAAATTTCCACTTTCATTAAGTTTCCCTTTAACAACTAATGACTGTATAGCCACGCTAGGAGCAATTCAAAATAGCATCAGGATGAGAGCTGTTGACACATTCATTAAAGGGATCTAGAACACACAAAGAAGGTTGGGGTTCAGACATTCCGTTTCCATGGCTGTTTAATGACAGGGGTAGAAATGAAAAATGGGACATCTTTGTTTATAGAATGCATGTTAAATTTTAGACTGAGAATCAAGACCTTCTTTCCTACAGGATGTTACTTGAACTTGCAGCAGATACTCTGCTAGACACCAAAGTGCACAAGACAGTATGGTTCTTGCTTATCACCTGCTTGCGAAGACGGACGTGAATAACGGCATCCCACCATCAAAAGGAGACTGGAAAACCGTGGTGGGTGCCATGCAGAAATGGGCTAGAAGTGCTAGAGAACAGAACGTTCTCTTCTCAAGGCTTCCTTGAGAAAGCACCACTTAAGCTGAGCTCTGAAGGGAGAGTGTGAGCCGATCAGATGCTGGGGTACAGGATTTGCCCCGGAGCCACGTGGAATGATGCCGCGGTACTTGGTGCACAGGAAGAATGGAGCGGTGAGTGAGCATGTCTGATGGAAAAGCGGGAGGGATGGGCATGGCCAATAGATACAAGTTGATGTTAAGGCTCTTTGGAAGCGTTTTCAGCAAAAGAGATGATCAGAATCACATTTTGAAAGAGTCACTTTGGGTCCAGGGTGGAAAACAATGTGTCTTCTACATTTTCATAGGTAAAGGGTGTACCAGGGTCCACTTCCCTAAAGTCCCTTGGGAAATTATCCAAGCTCTCTCAACCAGCTGGTTTACAAAGATGGAGGCTACAGCAAATTGGAGCACTTCTTACATATTACAGCCTCCCTGAAGGAGCGACTGAACGCAGAGAGGCTCTGAAGGCTTTCTGTGATCGCCTGCAGCGCAGCGGATGCTACCTTGGAGCTCTGAAAACTTCCAGCTGCGATCCGTAATGCCTCTCCTCTGCATAACAATCACAGGGGCACTTCCTAGAAATCCAGATTCCTGGGATCTACCCTTAAGGAGTCTGTGTCCGTAAGTCTAGGTGGCCTGTCAGCCTCCATGCTGGAGAAAACATCCTTCGGGAGGCTGATGGACCGCGGCCGTGGAGGTTCAAATTTTTTGCATTTATGAGTTGCAACGTAAATTCGGTACATTCTCTGAAACAGTCCTGGGAGCTGGGTGGAAGGTTAGCTCCTTTTCAGGAGATAGAGACAGAACTGGTCATCCTCAGAGAGGAGACGTTCCATCTGCTTAGCTCTGTTAGCGTAGTGGGGGACAAGAAGTAGAATTCCTAGTTCCCTATGGGACACAAATGCACCATAGAGAGGATCTGCCTAGTGATTTAAAAACAACAACAAAACTAAACCTATGGGTTTTAAATCCCTACTGCCTGGGTCTGAATTCTGCACCTGCTATTTACAGCTGTGTGATCTTGGGCAAGTCACTTAACTTCTCAGCTTCGTTATTCATCAGATGGTCCCTCCCTCAGAGGGTTGTGTGAGGGTTAATTAACTGCGTTGACACAAGCTGTCAAGAGCAGTGCCTGGCACATGGTGGCAATACAGGTGTTAGGTGTTATGCTTCCATTCCCATATAATGCTTCCTTCAAGGAGAGGAAGAGTCAAGGCCACGCTTGTTCAACCCAATGACCCAGGGGGCAAGATCCCAACTTAACCCTTAACCAAGCACTGGGAACTGGGTCATGTGTTAATGCTGCGGAAATCAGCCACTTCCTTTTGTTGAAATGAAAAAGCAAAATCGTATTTTCATTTTCTTATAACAATTAAATAACCTGCTCATTTAGGAAACTGTGATTTATAAAGTAGAATCCTATACACTACAATTCTTAAAGCTTTTTTTTTTTTTTTTGCTCCTTTTGGGAAGGGGAGGAAATGTCCTCTCATGCATTTACTTGTCTTTAAATGCATAAGAGGACAACCCTTCTATAGTTGCTTATTTGCCTTGGGAATACTTAATTATGTGTTTGTTTTAGAGAGAGTGAATATGGACCCCTGCTTCTTTCCTGCCGCAAACTGAGGTTTAAGGAACATCTGATTCAGGACCTCCTACTTCCCTCTTTTATGGGATTTGGATCCTGTCCCTGCTGCTCATCTGTACAATGGGTCAGAGGATGAGAACTGCTTTTTGTGAAGAACACTGGGGCCGCATGAGCAAAGGGCACCAAGGAAGGCAAGGAGCTTCCCTAACCTGTGTGCTCTTGGAGGAGGCTGATTTAAAGCCATCCAGTCAGTGGAAACAGAAATGCTGACAGGGGCATCCATCAGTTGGGAGGCATGAAGGGCCAGGAGGGCATGCAGAGGCAGCAACAGCGCTAGTCAGAGCCCAGAAGGGGTTGGTGGAGGAGGCAGCAGGCAGTCACTTACTGCTCATTAATATTATGTACTGCAGCTGGGGGACCCCCATTTCAAAGGGAGCTCAGAGCAGCCTCCGCGGCAGTTAATGGCTCAACAACTTTTTAAACAGCTGGGGAAGTGATCCAGAAGCACTTGGAGATGGAGGGGGTAGTTGATTTCAAACCATCCTGAAATTTCTTCATGTTTAAATAATCCCCCTAGCAGTAGACAGAGGGTCCAGAAAAAGGCACTTTCACATTCATCTCTCTCTTATGACAAGCATTTCTTATAAGAAGGAAGCTTTAGCTTATACCTACAGGGGTCTACGAGAAGAAAAAGCAGCTGTTGGAGAAGAGCTAATAATCCAATGCTTCTTTCCAGAAGGTGGTTTTATGAGAAAATCCACAATTCTGTAACGAGTACGTTTGATGTGGAAAAATGGAACATGCAGAGGGTAAGGCGAGTGATCTTGTTCACAGAGGCTTCCAGGCCATCCAGATGCCCTCTAACCTGAAGCAGGAAGCCAGCAACGGTTTGACCGAAGTGGAGGAAACTTCAGAAGCACTGATAAAAACCGGGCACATCAAGTGAGGCCAAATACACCTAGTTTGCATGCCTATTCACTTTTCTTTTTCGGGGGTTTGTCTGGCTAAACTCGGGACACTTGGGTTAGAATTGTAATACTGAACTTGAGATATCGATCTGGTTGTGAGCCCAACACCCATGACCCCATCCTTGGCATCCATGCTGAACCACTGGGTACAGGGGGCGTGCACATGGATTCAGCCAAGGCTGGAAGCTGGGACTGGACTGAGAGCCAACAGGTTACTTTTTAAATCTAGTAGAAACTACACTTGAAGAATGTGGTTGGAGAAGTTACGCGCTAGCCATATTTCACCACATGGACCAGGGAAGCAGGGTTGGCTGGTATTCAGGGAGGGAGAAGAATTAAGGAGATGCCTAAAGAGAGAGAAACGTGAGATGGAGAATTAGGAAGGTGTCTTGATTCCTTGTCCTAGTGCCTTCCTGAATGGTGGCTGCATTTTCATCCTTAGGTTCCAGGAGATCTCTCTCCATTCTTTTTTCTTTTTGCTTATGCTAGTGTGAATTGGTTCCTTTTACTTGTTACCAAAGAGTTCTAACGATGACATCGACTTCTGACTTGAGGCATGAGGAGTGACATCAAGGTCTCTCCTTTTCTTTTTAAATTTATTAGAGAGAGAGCACAAGCCAGGGAGAGAGAGGGAGAAGCAGACTTCCCGCTGAGCAGGGAGCATGATGTGGGGCTCCATCCCAGGGCCCTGGGATCATGACCTGAGCCGAA